TCTCTTGAGGCCGAGTGCCAAAATGTATGGAAATATGAAAAAAAAAAAGATTAAAGCTGTGGAAAGAGAAACCTTTTAATCATATTTAAGCTTTCTGTTGATGCAAGATTTCTATATTTGACAAATCCAACTGACTGTGCCATGACATGGTGCATGGCTAACTGTCGAGGTTGTGAATGTTTCATGATCAAATTGATTTTGAATGTTAAGAACAGAAGTGATTCAATGTTTCCATCCTCAAAACTGGTTACCTTGAGTTGAAGCTCTCTCTCTCTCTCTCTCTTTGCATGATTTCGGAAGATGATTTACTGTGGGCATATTTCTTTGTCTTGATGATGAGTGTATCTTTTTTAGTCTCTTATCTGATCTGCTTGCATGCTCTTTAGGATCGAAAAACTGTCTCAGAAACAAAACACTTGAAAGTAGTCATTCGAATCTTGATATGTGGGAAAATGAGTATTTGACATTCATTCCTTTTTTAATTTTTTCTTGATTACCAAAGAAACCGTATACGGCATACGCCACTTCTCATTTTGCTTAAGACACACAACTGGTGTGCGAATTCGGAGAATGCAGTGGAAGTTATATGCTTTATTCAATGATGATTTGCTAGTTACATCTTTTTCACATAACTCTCCTTTACGATCGCCATAATCGGTGAACAAACCTTTGATCTTGTAATCTGCTGTGTCATGAAACATTTCAATTTCACACAAAGTACGCAGGCATCCTGCTATAGTTCTTCCAAATCTTGCAACGATCAGAAACAACCCAACCGCGTGCCGTGAACCTCTAAACTTACCATTCTTTCTTGTTCTTACAGGCCGTTAATCTCAAGAGCACTAACGTCACAAATACGAAGAACCTCAAGGTACATTTTCCAATCACCACAAAAATCCATCACTAACCCACCAACAAAGTAGTTAGTTTCCTTCCTAAATTAACAACTCTATTGTTTTCCAAGCAGACAACAACTGACGATTTACCTTACCAACCCGCACTGCCCGAAATCCTAGACCTCCTTAGATCCGCATGCGAAATCCACGGCCTCCCACTTGCCCAAACGTGGGCCCCGTGTTCTTCCAATTGCTGGTGCTGCCCAGATGGCGGCTCGAATAACTGCCTTTCCCCAGTGGAGCTCGCTTGCCACGTGGCGGACCCACGCATGCTGGGCTTCCACGAGGCGTGTGCCGAGCACCACCTGTTGAGGGGCCAAGGTATCGTCGGGAAAGCCTTCGGTACAAACCAGCCGTGCTTCTTGCCTGATGTGTCTGCCTGTAGCAAAACCGAGTACCCTTTGTCTCACCATGCCCGCATGTTCGGGCTTCGGGCTGCTGTTGCTATACGCCTGAGGAGTGTTTTGACGGGTTCTGCCGATTTTGTCCTTGAATTCTTCCTGCCAACGGGCTGTGTGGCCCACGAGGACCAGAAGAAGATGCTGAACTCCATTTCGAACACCATTCGAGAAGTTTGCCTGACTCTGCGTGTTGTCACGGATGAAGAGCTTCAGGTGGAGGAGAATTATGCGGGAAAATCTGTAGAAAATCTGTCGAAGCTAGGATTTGGGCTCGTTGAGAATAATGCGTCGACATCTGGCGACAGGAGCTTGTCGTATGCTAACAGGACGGGTGAGAAGAGACGGGCCAAGGCGGAGAAGACTATCACGTTGGAGGTGCTCAGGCAGCACTTTGCTGGGAGCTTGAAGGATGCTGCAAAGAATCTTGGTGGTAATTTACATTTCTTACCCTTTTCATTATTAAAAAAAAAAATACTTTCTTTCTTTTTTACCTGTTTCATTTTATATAAAATTTAAGCAGCTTTCCTTTCTTAAATGATTTCTGTTGCAACCTTGAGGTTTAAGCTTACACACAAATTTCATATGCAGAGAGAGACTTCCATTACATAACCCTCTGAAAAGGGGTATTTCTAGTTATTATTTGGTAATTGGGTATTTGTTTTTCTGCCTTGTAATTAGGCTAACAGTTAGTTAGTGCCATGGAATGCATTCATCCTGAATTAATCTGCTTATCTCTGATTTTTGCCAATCTTTTCTCAGTTTGCCCCACCACCTTGAAGAGGATATGCCGACAGCACGGAATCCAACGCTGGCCATCCAGAAAAATCAAGAAAGTGGGCCATTCCTTACAAAAGATCCAGCGCGTGATCGACTCTGTCCAAGGCTCATCCGGCGTCCTTCAATTCGGTTCCTTCTACACCAACTTCCCCGAGCTCACATCCCAAACGGGCCCCAAAACCTCGGCCCACGAGGTGAGGAAGCCCAATGACGACCCAAATCTCCCGCCATTTGCATCCCAGTCCCCTTCCTCCTCCTGCAGCCAGAACTCGAGCTCCAGCCAGTGCTACTCGAGCGAGGCCCAGCCCAACTCCTACCCACTAACAGCTCCCTGCCCTGAAGGCCCGACAGCCAAAGACGAGCCCTCTCGAGGCCCGACAAACATTCCAAGGTCACGGAGCCAACCCTCGATTTGCGGGCCCGAGGAAACGGGCAGTCAAAGGGTGAAAGTCAACTATGGGGAGGACATGATAAGGTTCCGCATGCGGAGCGGCTGGGGCTACAACGACTTGCTGCGGGAGATCACGAGACGGTTTGGAGTGGGTGACGGGCCCACTGCAGGCCCATTTCATCTCAAGTATTTGGATGATGATGCTGAGTGGGTCCTGCTGACGTGTGACGATGATCTAGAGGAGTGCATCGACGTGTGCCGCTCGTCCGGGGCCCACATGATCCGGCTCTCGTTTGTCCCGGTCAGCCGGGATGTCGCTCGGGATTAGAGATGACTTTTCGTTGTAGAGGACAAGGTTTGTGGAG